CCGCCCTAGACCAGATCCACCTACTGCTGCTTCGATATGTTTCCAATCTGCCACCCAACTTCCATCTTCTAGCAACTGTTTGAGGAAGGTAAGACCCTTTGTTCAGATTTTGCGTATTTTAGGGGTATTTAAAAAGATATTTTGATTTTCCTATGTGTCTTTTGTTTATAACTAGATCTGAGAAGTATATATCTACAACTACAACAGACTTACTATATTTATATAGCTTAAATTCTAAATTGACTCTATAGATATGGTAAAAGTTAGAGGAGGAACATCTCGACAATGATTAAATCTATGGTATAATAGGACGTTCAAAGGAATCGTGCAAAATCAACTTAGAAAGTGAAAAAGATTTATAGATGCAGTAGTTTATATATTTCTTGTTTGTTAACTTTTACAGTAATATTTACAAATTAGATTCACTGAGCTAACTGTACTCGTATATTTCAGGAAAAGGAAAGGGTCTCAAGATAGTTGAGGAAGAACGTGTTAGTGAGGTAATTATTGGTATATACATGTATTGAYAWTCTACTTATGATATTTGAGTTGTAYAGTTRTATATACATGTATTGACTTTYRTATTTTGTTAATTCTTGAATTGRTATATACATGTATTGACAWWATTGAGTTTCATRGTGATATATACGTGTATTGAATTCTAATTTTGATTTTTCTTTAATTGGTATATACATTTATTGACCTTTTAATTTTGATAAATTTTCTAATGTTTTAAAGGACGATACAAAGTCTAATGAAGATAATGAAAGAGTGAATAATGAATTCACCGATGAACATAAGAAAAATAACTCATCGTCAAAAGAAGTTTAAGAAACTGAATCTGATAACGATACACGCCCAAATGCTACAAATTTAAGAGGAATCACCTATTTTCCTAATCGTTTTGATTTATTGGTTGTTAGTCTTCGCTTTTTTAATTTTCTTTTGTTGTAAATGATTTATTAAATGATAAAGAAATAAGAAAACAAAATAAAAATAACCTGTGAAGCATATACTCCTTAGTGGTTAGGTATATATATCAATTGATGCAAATATGTATAAATACATTAAGAAGATACAGTAGAACAATTGCAGAACGATGAGATGGGAGATGAATCGTTGTACACAAATCGTTTAAATTAACTGAAATACAAAACAAAGTAATTAAAATAATTAACTTGAAATCCCTTGAATATAGGAAAATCATTTTGAATTCAAAGTTTGTTACGTGGTTGAATATAAGAAAAGGCCAAAAAGACATAGAAAAGGGTATTGTTGGAAAACTACGTTATTCTGTAAAACTCCTAAAATACGCCCTTTAGCCATTTGTGCAAAATTTAAAACTAATAGACATTTTTAAAACGGGTGGCAAAATTTAGTCATCGACTTAAATTTCCCTTTTTAAATTGGGTTGTATTTTGACGAGGCAACAAGAGAAATAGCTAAATTAAATAGTTTAATTTGAAAAATGGCCAAAAGAATTAGATATAGGAAAATAGGTAAGGGCAGTTAGAGCTGAACTACCGGATTTTATGTGGATAAATTTACCTTTCCATCAAAGTAGGTAAATTTATCATGCCATTACCCTATAAATTTATGAAACTACCCTTCAACAAACCTTTAGGGGGTGTTTGGCCCACGGGTTCGGAATCAGTAGCCTGGATTTGTGTAACCTGGGGGTTTGATGTTGGAGTGTTGTATAGCCTAGGTTTGTGTAGCATGTGTTTGGGGTGTAGGGTTACGTACCCTGGGTTTGTGTAATCTGTGTTTGGGGTGTATGGTTGGATACCCTAGGTTTGTAGTCTGTGTTTGGGGTGCAAGGTTGGGTAGCCTAGGTTTCGCAGAAATTTTTTATTTGTTTCTTAAAAAATTGTTAAATATTTGATATAGTCTAATTAAATGTGTAAATGTGTTTTAGAAGGCAATTAATCTATCTATTTCGAAATTTACATTTGTTAATTTATATATTTTTCAACCATATTTTTTTCATTTTTTCTGTTGAACTGCCACAGAAGTTTAATTTTAAAATCAGACAAATAGTTCACTATAATTTGGAGCAAGATCCTATAATTTGAAGTCAAAAAATTGTATGACGATTATGGGTTCCTTCCAAGTAGACGGATCCAATACCTGTACTTCCAATTTGGTGGGAAGTCAAGGAATGTGTTCACCTTATTGGAGTCCGCAAGTAAAGTTTTTCTGACTACCAAACAGTCCTCCAATGTCATTCCAGGGACGAACTCAAGTTTTGCGACCACTCATCTCCTTTGTGTTGAGGCCCTTTCATGTCTTTTGGTTGGCCAAGCTGCAATCTTGTCCAGAACAATTGTTTGCATGCGCATCTCTGATTGGACTACTCCAACCAAGTCCCCAGACTAACATTGCTTCCTCTTGCTCGTTCTTGACGTCCCTGTGCCATCCGGCCTACTCGAAAGGGTCAATGGTATGTTTTCCCCGAGAACGTAATCGAAGGTTGGGGGTTCTGGTATGTAAGGTTCTTCGTTCTGCGTATTCAGGTCCTCGTCTGCACCTAGATTTGGAACAGATGCCATGTCAGATGGAGTCTTCATGACTGCACTTGTGGCCCTATCCTTCCCAAATACAATGGCAAGGTCACAAAGTAAGGGAATGACTTGTTTCGAAGACTCTTGGCATTCGGATGAGTCTGCACATATTAATGCAAGCGTAAATATAACAGACTATTGATTAAAGTATTAATGCTTGTATTCGTCGTACCTTGACCCATTCATCGTACACATCCTTCTTTTTCTCAATGCATTTAAGTTCATCGTTCCAACCGAATCCACTACATGTGGTGATTGATTCTCTATCCTCTTTTGGCTCTTTAGTATGGTATTTAAGACTACTAGGAACTGACGTTGTGTTGTGCATATGGCAGTTAATATTGCAATCAACTCATATGGTTCTATGTCCATATCCATATCCATGTCCATTACTAATAATTTTTGTTAAGGTCCTGAAACAAAAGGATTCGATACATGAGCCTCACAAATTTTTAATGAAACTACTTCCTACGTACAATACAAGTATTCCAAGTATGAACCCTATTGCTAACAATCTGATAACATAAAATCTTCCTTCATATCCTCCTACGCGGTGAGTACTTCTTGTGGGTTGGGCGATAAAACCATGATTAGTAGGTCCTAGGTCAGTCGATTGGCCAACTGTGGCTGCAATGTAGGCATACTCAGCTTCTTCTAGTGTCAAATATGACTTGTGCACTGCCCCAGTGAAGCCATAAACTTGTCTATTACAATCATACCATGTCTTGTAAATTCCAAGTCTACGATCGGCAAATACGACATAGAATTTCGTTTTTCCCATATCCCTAATATGTAGAATAAAATCAGTTTACATCTACCCCTAAATTATTGTAATCTATCATTGCTTCCAATAACATTCCCAAAATAAGTTGTCATTCATTATTTAATCATGGTTCTCATGGTCACTGATTAATTAGAAGCATATTTTAGTAAGCTGATTTTAAAATTAATTGTTACTTATTATTTCAAAATATTATTAGAGTTATGAATAGAATAGTCTATATTTATGACACCACTTTTCCAATCATAGATAGTCCAACTTTAGAAAAAAAAATGCAACCATTTTAAAATAATTTGGACTCATTATTTTAAAATATTATCATGATTATAAACTATTAATATAAAATATTACCTACTTTTCAATTATTATATTAGGATCAAATATTTTGAAACATATTAAGCAAAAAAAAAAAATTCTCAAATTTTACAGCCATTTTTAAAATAATGGTGCAACCATTGCAACTTAAGACATATTTTAGTAAAACCATTTTGCAACCATTTCAAAATAATCTTTATTGATTATTTTAAAATATTATCATGGTTATAAA